GTTATCTTTAATTTTAAAATTTTTATTGATTTTAGGGGAGATATAGAAACATCAATGATAAGAGAGAATCATTGATTGGCTGCCTATTGCACAACCCCCACTGGGGATCGAGCCCACAACCCGGGCATGTGCCCTTGACTGGAATCAAACCCAGGACCCTTCATTCTGCAGGCCAATGCTCTATCCACTGAGCAAAACCAGACAGAGCTCTAAAAATCAATTTTTAAAAATAGTTTAAAAATATCAAATAGAGTAGGAAAATATCAAAGTCCATCACATGTAGTAAGGGCATATTTTGTTACTGGAAACTTTATATATATGTTGATTTCAGAGAGGAAGGGAGAGGGAGAGAGAGATAGAAACATCAATGATGAGAGAATGAGCCAAACTGGCTAGGGCATCTGGAAACTCTTACTGCATGAGCACGGGACAAGGAAGTGTGTGGGTGTATGTGTGAGTGTGTGTGCACTGGATCTTGATGTAAATCGTTTTTATAGCTGTGGTTCATGGTCTGAATAGTTTGAACGCTGCTGTAGGAAAAGATGTTTTTGAGTCAACTTAGTTTGTTTTCATTATAATGCTACAACTTAATTATGTACTCACATAAATCTGTGTATCAACTCACTGATCTAGCTCCTATAAAATTAATTAAATAACTACCCAAAAGCCAGTAAAATTCAAACCAGCATCATTCTGGGAGGACGACATTAGTGTGAACCTGAATCGCTGTTTTCAGCATAAGAACGGCACGGACTTGACACCATGGCCTCCGTGGCTTCCGCACGCCCACCCTGCAGTGTCTAGTGAGGAGAGGCAATCCTCCCAGCTTCTGAAGAGCTGTCATGCCTCACGTTGCACAAATGTATCAGATGAGTTAAATGCAGAATTAAGTTGTCTGAATTAGCCCACGCAGTTAGCGTAGTACCACTTGGCACTAGTACAGTTGTAAATACACACCTCGGCCCTGAAATGTGCAAATCTGGGGTAAGCAACAGTCACCCAGCGACCTACAGTATTTGTTCCTTTTTCAAAGATGATCTTCACAGTGGAAACAAGAACAAGAAAGCTGGAGCCTCTGAGGAGAAGCCTGCAGACCCTGGTCCTGGGCCCCATCCCTAGTGTGAGGCACCCCGGTTGACCTCGCAGCAGCCAGCTAGACAGCATGGATCTCAACACTTAGGTGGAGGCACGTTCAACTTGGCCCCCAAAATAGACTACTATCCTGCCTGCAGTGCCTTCCCTTCTTATCAGAATATTACAAAAATTCCACCCAGGTGCCTTGTTGGAAGAAAATGTGCAGCGTATACCATTCTGACGTATCCAGCCAAAACCCCACAAAACAGATTTGTTCAGATGACAGACGTTTTTTGCAGCCGTGTGCTTACTCCTATGATTACTGTCCTGCTCTGTTACCTCAGTAATTGTAGTGCTGGTTGTTCATTCTAGGGTTCTGACAAGGACCAGAGTCTGATATTTCCAGACCTTCCTGTACTCTGGGTTTTGCCCGGAGCTGCCCTCTGGCTCCTCACTCTTACTCCTGAGCTACAGTCTCTCCTCCTCTGGGGTGCTGCTGTGTGGCCTTAGAGCCTGGGAACCATTTGAGGCATTGGTGTGCCTTCTTCCTAGCCCATCGCCTGTCCTGGACTCAGTCCCCCATTCACCTTTTCCCATTTAAGAATCTTCCTCCCAGCCCTGGCTGGTGTTGCTCAGTGGATAGAGTATCAGCCTGTGGACGGAAGGGCCCTGGGTTTGATTCTGGTCAAGGGCACATACCAGGTTGCAGGCTCAATCCCCAGTGGGGGGTGTGCAGGAGGCAGCTGATCAATGACTCCCTCTCATCACTGATGTTTCTTTCTCTCCCTCTCCCTCTCCCTCCCTCTTTGAAATCAATAAAAAAACAACAACAACCCTTCTCTCATAGAGAGAAGCCAGAGGCCAGCGAAAATTGAATTGTTCCACTTTCTCCCCAACCTCTCCTCTCCTCTCCTCAGTAGATGCCCAGCAGGGGCTCAAAGCCTAAGCCATTTTGCCTTTTTGAGCCTCTGGAGTAATTAATACCCTTCTTGGTGCTGTACTTCCCGAAATCCACTTTCTGAGGGTCTAGGATACAAGTTAGACTCTGCCCAGTGTCCTTTTTCTTCAGTGATGTATGAACTGTAAGATAGCTTAGATTCCTTCCCCCAATTCTCATGATTTCCATGTTACCTATCTTATATTTATCTTAGGTGAGACGTAACTCAGAGCAGAGATTCCTTTAATTACTTCCTCAATGTTCTTTATCTTCCTTTATTTTAAAAAGAGTACAACAGAATACACTTATTGTGAGAAAATGACAAAATACGGAGAAAAACAAGGAGAAAAATTCTCTTAGTCAAGCAAAATCCAACTACCGGGAGATAATGGTTTTTAACATTTTAGCAATTTAAGACTTTTTCCTGCTATATTCATATATTGAAATACATATACATTTAAACAAAAATAGAATTTACTCTATCTTTATTCTCATTATATTCAGTGATTAGCTACCTAGTCTTAGTGCTACCTATTGGGCCAACCAGGTGATACCTAGTATGGGGCCATCCCTATTGTCTGCATTGAAGTGTAAATTCACATAAAGCACTTCTCCATATGCTATAGATCAATACCTGGGCCACTGGGCCTTTGTGGTGAAGGCTGAGCATAAAGCACCCAGGACTTGGGCATGGAGTAGATGTGTCCTCCTAGTCAGGGATCCTGACTGAGCCAAGCTTCTCTCCAGGCTGGCCTGGCGTCTGGCCATAGCAGTGAGCAGGAAGCCTGGCTCAGGGCTGGAGGAGTAGCTGGGGAGGGGGCTTCCCCACCCACCATGCAGGGGTCCTGACCTAGGGAGCGTCAGCAGTGCCCCACAGAGAGGGCTCCCTAGGCTCACGGTGCAGTTTCGGAAGCTGCTCTTGGTATAATCTCAGCATCTTCGTGTTACCTCAGGCTTTATGTTGGCTGGAGCGGACAGTCCAGGGAAGGCAGGACCAGCTGTCCTCACAGCCGTGGATGGCTGAGTCTGAGGAGAGGAGAAGGGCGCCTGCTGAAAAGATGCAGGTTGCTCAGCTTGAGTGGGTCAGTGTGGGGAAAGCTCTCAGAGAGGCGGCAGCAGAGACAGAACGGAAATACCAGGCACGTGGGTTTGGGTTCTTGGGGGGCATTTTGTGCATGACTTTCTTTTCTCCCAGCAGATCCACACACCAGCATGGCTGCCACTGCTGCTGTCAGTCCCAGTGACTACCTGCAGCCCGCTGCCTCCAGCACCCAGGTGAGTGGGCTGAGGGTGGGGGCTGCATCGGCCTGGAAGAACTCCTGAAGCTGCCATTCAACCAGACTGAGCACTCACTGTAAACACCTCAGGACAGGAGACCAGGGGAGTTCAGTTACCTACTGTTTCTGAATTAAGAAACCATGGCCACTGACCTTAGGTGCCACAGTTGGGTCAGGGGGAAGCAGGATTAAACTCAAGGTCTCTTCCACTAGGCTCCACTGACCATATAAGGAAAATGGAGACTGTCCCCACAGCCCAGAGACTGCCTTGTAGCCTCAAAAGAGCAGCGTTCCCTGGTCAGTGAAGTCATGTCCCTAGAAAACACTGACCAGAGCGTTTACTCCTCCTGTTGCTCCTCCCTTTTCCTTTCCCTCCCCCTTCCTCAGTGGAGGAGTCAGGGATCCCGTAATCCCTGTGGTGAGCCAATGGAACTCCACGTACGAGCCCAGGGTGGTTCTGTGCCCTGTTAGAAACAAGGCCAGTGGGGAGTAAGTGGCCAGCTCATGCTGCTAGTTCACCCTGTCCTGGGTGCTGCTGGGGCACTCCCTCCCGAGAAAGACATTTCCCACCCTTTCTCCCTTATTACTCAAGTGGAGGCCGGTGCACGTCATTCGTGCACTGGGGGAGGGAGGGGTCCCTCAACCCAGCCTGCACCCGCTTGCAGTCCGGACCTCGGGGGATATCTCCTAAGCCGGCAGCCTGATATCCCCTGAGGGGTCCAGAGGTGGGAGAGAGGCTTCGGCCACCACCACTGCACTCGCCAGCCGTGTGCCGGCTTCTGGCTGAGGGTTCTGCCGCTGTGGGAGTGCACTGACTACCAGAGGGCAGCTCCTGCATTGAGCGTCTGCCCCCTGGTGGTCAGTGCGTCATTGTGACTGGTGGTTCTGCTATTTGGCTGATTTGCATATTAGGGTTTTATTATATAGGATGGAGAAACCAGCAGGGACAACAGGACCACTGCAGGGGGAGGGTGCTGGCACCCTGCCTGCCACGGAAGTGGGGAGGAACCTGCCAAGAGGAGAGGATCAAAACAGGCAGAGGGTGGCTGGGCTCCAGGCCCTCACGTCTCACTCCTTTTCTCCTCTGGGTTTTTTGCAGGATTCCCAGCCATCTCCCTTAGCCCTACTTGCTGCAACATGTAGCAAAATTGGGCCTCCAGCTGTTGAGGCTGCTGTGACGCCTCCTGCTCCCCCACAGCCCACACCACGGAAACTGGTCCCTATCAAACCTGCCCCTCTCCCTCTCAGCCCCGGCAAGAATAGCTTTGGAATCTTGTCCTCCAAAGGAAACATACTCCAGATTCAAGGGTCACAACTGAGTACATCCTATCCTGGGGGTCAGCTGGTGTTCGCCATCCAGAATCCCACTGTGATTAACAAAGGGACCCGAGCAAATGCCAACATCCAGTACCAGGCAGTCTCTCAGATTCAGGCGAGCAGTGGCCAGACCATCCAAGTACAGCCCAATCTCGCCAACCAAATCCAGATCATCCCTGGCACCAACCAAGCCATCATCACCCCCTCACCATCCGGTCACAAGCCTGTCCCCATCAAGCCAGCTCCTGCCCAGAAGTCAAGTACAACGACCGCTCCCGTGCAGAGCGGGGCCAATGTGGTGAAGCTGACAGGTGGGGGTGGCAACGTGACCCTTACTCTGCCTGTCAACAACCTTGTGAACACCAGCGACACCGGGGCCTCCACTCAGCTCCTCACAGAGAGTCCTCCCATCCCGCTGTCCAAGACGAATAAGAAAGCCAGGAAGAAGAGTCTTCCTGCCGCCCAGCCCTCGGTGGCTGTGGCTGAGCAGGTGGAGACGGTGCTGATCGAGACCACAGCGGACAACATCATCCAGGCAGGAAACAACCTGCTCATTGTTCAGAGCCCTGGCGGGGGCCAGCCAGCTGTGGTCCAGCAGGTCCAGGTGGTGCCCCCCAAGGCCGAGCAGCAGCAGGTGGTGCAGATCCCCCAGCAGGCCCTGAGAGTGGTGCAGGCGGCATCTGCCACCCTCCCCACTGTCCCCCAGAAGCCCTCCCAGAACTTTCAGATCCAGGCGGCCGAGCCAACGCCTACTCAGGTACCACGCACACCCTCTGCACCTGCCTTCCTCTCCTTAGCACTAACTGGCTAGCGCTCCACTCAGCTTGCCTTTGAAGATGCTGCTGATGCATTTCCCGATTTGATCTGAATGTTCAGAGTCAGTATCGTTTGGGGTGGGCAGTAAGTGCGGGAACCAGACTCTCCTGGGACACTGACGTTTTCTCTCTGGTCCCTCCCAGGTCTACTTCCGTACGCCTTCCGGTGAGGTGCAGACGGTCCTTCTCCAGGACAGCTCCCCAGCAACAGCTGCAGCCACCTCCGCCACCACCTGTAGCAGTCCTGCACCCCGTGCTCCCCATCCGAGCGGGACCAGCAAAAAACACTCAGCCGCGATTCTCCGGAAAGAGCGGCCCCTGCCAAAGATCGCCCCTGCCGGGAGCATCATCAGCCTGAATGCAGCCCAGCTGGCGGCGGCGGCCCAGGCCATGCAGACCATCAACATCAATGGTGTCCAAGTCCAGGGTGTGCCTGTCACCATCACCAACGCCGGCGGTGAGGGAAGACCCCCTGGGCTGGGGCGTGGGTGGTACCTGCACATCCCTCGCATCGGAACTGTGCGCCAGCCCCGTGCTGGCCAGGAACAGGAGTGAGGATAATACCCGACACTGTCTCAGCCTTTCCCGCTTAAAAGCATGTCCACTCGGTCCTTAGCCCTGCGAGGGAGTGTAAGATGCTATTGGCCTCAACTTACAGCTGAAGACCTTGAATATGGTGGAGAGAGTAAGATATACTAGGGGAAAACTCCAGCTAACACCAAATGCAAATTCGTTTGGTACAGACCAAAGACAGATACATCTTCAAGGGAGGCCCTGGGTAAAGAAACTTGAAGGAAGACTTCAGAATGAGGAAAGCCTTGAGTTAACGCTGGAAGGAAAGGAAGGAGCCTTTGGCCGTGGGAATGGCTTGTGCTTCACTTCTGCTGAGTGGAAATATTTGGTAATATTTACAGTATGAAAGCAGCGTTGCACATCAGCAAAGGAATATTGTAGCTACCTAGCAAAAACGGCTCCTTGCCTCACCTTCGGTAGCCAGGTGAAGGCCTTTACAGGGTAGTGGCACTTGAACACCAGCAATAGGTCAGCAGCACTCCCCTGCTTTGAAAGGCTTTATGCACGTCCTAGAGGACTTGGTTTTTTCCCCAAAGCCCTCAGAACTGTCTTCTTTATTTTTTTAAATATGTTTTTATTGCCGAGGCCGGTTTGGCTCAGTGGATAGAGCGTCGGCCTGCGGACTGAGGGGTCCCAGGTTCGATTCCGGTCAAGAGCATGTGCCTGGGTTGCGCGCACTTCCCCAGTGGGGGACGTGCGGGAGGCAGCTGTTTCTAACTCTCTATCTCTCTCCTTTCCTCTCTGTGAAAAATCAAAATATATTTTAAAAAAATATGTTTTTATTGATTTCAGAGAGAGGGATAGAAACATCAGTGATGAGAGACAGTCATTGATTGGCTGCCTTTTACACGCCCCCTACTGGGGATCAAGCCTGCAACTCACCTCCCACCCCCCACATGTGTCCTGACCAGAAATCACACCTTACCTCCTGGTTCATGGGTCAATGCTCAACCACTGAGCCACACCAGCCTGGCCCTTACTCTTAACAGAAATCCCTGGAGACTTTCCTGAGAGCAGGTATCTCACAAGGGCCTAAGGCTTGAGGAAATTCTAGAAGAAACACCCCTCAAGACAAGACCCTTCCCAATTGAAACACGTGAAAGCACGTTTGGCTGGTGTGGTGTGGTGGTTCAGCGCATTGATGCTGACGTCAACTGCCTGGGTTCAGACCCAAGTCCTACCACTTACTAGCTGTGTGACCTTGATATGTTATTGGGCCTCAGTTTCTTCAGCTGTGAAAGGAGGATAATATATCTGTTTCATAGGACTGTGAAGGTTGAAGGCGTATCTGGCATATAACAGGTTCTCAGAAGCATTAGCTGTTCTGGTTGTCCTTATCATGTGCAGAAGGGAAGGAGGGTGTCAGGCGCCCTGCTCTGTCCCTTCAGGCTTCCTCACCCCAACCATGCCCTGCCACCCCCACAGGGCAGCAGCAGCTGACGGTGCAGAACGTTTCTGGGAACAACCTGACCATCAGCGGGCTGAGCCCCACCCAAATCCAGCTGCAGATGGAGCAGGCCCTGTCTGGAGAGGCCCAGCCCGGGGAGAAGCGGCGCCGCATGGCCTGCACATGTCCCAACTGCAAGGATGGGGACAAGAGGTAATGGGAGCCAGCCTGGCAGCCTGGCCTGTGCCTGTTCCCCAAGCCCTTCCTGGAACACAGATCGGGGGGGCAAGGTAGCAACTCCACACCACCTTGCCTCACCTCCTCTGTGCTCTCTGACCTGCCCCCACATCCTCTCTCCATCCCATCCTGCCCCCATCTTCTCTTCCTTCCTCACTACGTTTCCCTTTCCCTCCCTCCCGCTCGCCATTCCCAGGTCCGGAGAGCAGGGCAAGAAGAAGCACGTGTGCCATATCCCCGACTGTGGCAAGACTTTCCGGAAGACATCCTTGCTGCGGGCTCACGTGCGCCTGCACACCGGCGAGCGGCCCTTTGTCTGCAACTGGTTCTTCTGTGGAAAGAGGTTTACACGAAGTGATGAACTCCAGCGGCACGCTCGCACCCACACAGGTCTGTTCCCTCCCCAGAGGCACACTGCCTCCCAGACGGCTTCTCACCCCCTTCCCTGCAGGCTTGCCACCACACGGGTCCTCCCCCCACCACTCCCCACACCCCCACTCCACTGCCCTCAGTGGCATCCAGATTCCTGGCCCTGCCGAGGAACTGCCACAGTGAGTAGGAGCTACAGACTGTCTTCTCAGGCTCCAGGCCTACCCAGGAAATGCTTTCAAGCCATTCCTTTATCGGTGTTTCCCAAAGCATCGTGCAGCCTTGATGACTTCTTCCATAGCTGCAGTTATTTATGTAACAAGCATTGACGTCGTATGCCAAGCACTATACTGCGCACTTTACAGCCGACTAATTCAATCCTCAGGACAGCTCTATGGGGAGGGTGCTTCGATCATGCCCATTTTACTGAGGCATGGAGAGGTGGCTCGGTCTCGGCTAGTGGAGCTTGGTTCAGACACAGGCCCCCTGGCTCCCAAATCCACACTCTTCCCGCCCCCCCCCATTTGAAATATAATCATATCGATGAAACTATACATTTCTACATTAAAGACAAGTTATAGAATAATCCCGAGTAATGTTGATAGCTATAACTTTAGCCCAATCTATTATTTTTTTTAAAATATATTTTTATTGATTTCAGACAGGAAGGGAGAGGGAGAGATAGAAACATCAATGATGAGAGAGAATCATTGATTGGCTGCCCCTTGCATGCCCCCCACTAGGGATCGAGCCCACAACCAAATAGAACCAGGGACCCTTGAGTCCACAGGCCAATGCTCTATCCACTGAGCCAAGCCAGCTAGAGCTAGCCCATCTATTATTTCTCTCTCTTCTTCTTTTTTTTTTTTTAATGTTTTTATTGATTTGAGAAAGAGCAGGAGAGAGAGAGAGAAACATCATCAGTTGGCTGTCTCCTGCATGTCCCCTACTGGGGATCAAGCCTGCAACCCGGGCATGTGCCCCAACCAGGAATCGAACCATTGACCTCTTGGTTCCTGGGTCGACACTCAACCACTGAGTCACACCAGCTGGGCTAGCCCATCTATTTCAATTACAGGTATTATGATTTCAGATTTTCAAGGATGCAACAGCACTACATTGAGCTGTTACTACCAAGTCCACACTCTTAATTGCTACCCCATATTGCCTTTCCTATTATTATTTCCTGATTGTCCTGAAATCATTTCACTATTTTCATTCATTTATGGGTCCAATCACTATTATTATTTTGTTATTGTGATTGTTAATCCTCACCTGAGGACATTTTTTTCCATTAATTTTTAGAAAGAGTGGGAGAGGGAGACAGAAACATTCATGCGAGAGAGACACATCGATTGGTTGCCTCCTGCATGCACCCCGACAGGGCCAGGGAACTTGCAATCAATATACATGCCCTTGACCAGAATCGAACCCAGGACCCTTCGGTCTGCGGGCCAGTGCTCTACCTACTGAGCCAAACCGGCTAGGGCGCAATCACTATTGCCTTTTGACATCACAAGCTTGATGTCACGTGTGCCTCTCCTCTTGGGGGGCTGGGATAGTCTGTGAGTGAGCTCTGTGAGTGATGGCCATCTCCTCTTCCCAGGGGACAAACGCTTTGAGTGTGCCCAGTGTCAGAAGCGCTTCATGCGGAGTGATCACCTCACCAAACATTACAAGACGCACCTGGTCACGAAGAACTTGTAAGGCCCACTGAGGCGGGAAGCCCGAAGATGCAGCCCCCCTGGTGGAAAGGAGGCCCCCGTGGTCCTGGGCCTGCCCTCAGCCCCGCCATCCTGTTCTGCAACTGTCCTCACAGGAAGGGGCTCTGCTGCCCCACACTCGCCTCTGCTGAAGCCCTTGGCTCTGCCCTGGCCCTTGCCTCTCACCAGACCGGGGACACTGGCTCTGCCCAATGAGACGTTCTAAACCAGGACGAGTGGGAACCTTTATTTCCAAAGGAAAAACGTGAATTTCACTCCATCGAGGAGCAAAGTGAGTCCTCCCCGCCCCCCCCCCAACACTGCGAGAGTCGCATCATCGTGCCATGCCCCGCTCTCCTGCACCTCCCTGGCCCCGGCACCTCAGACGCCCAGGCCCTGCCCCCAGGGCACCACCCAGGGCACCACCGGCATCCACCTCCTGCCAGGCTCAAGAGGCCGCCTCCACTCCACATGCCCGCTCTGCCACAGCTCTTCTCCAGCACATTCCAACTTTCTATTTAAAAATGAAACTACCACGGACTCCCTGATCCCCCTTTTTCTATGGAGAACGTTGCCTTATACTCTATTTCAGATAATGAACACTGTGTATTGTGTGTGCTTTAAAGTTTTATTTAATTGCTCCCTTCCTCCTGTACTGTTACTCACGCCCCCATACCTGCTTTCAGTTTAGGGTTTTGGGGGGCAGTGATGAGCATATGGGTTTTTTTCTCACTAGCAGTTCTCTTTTCTAAATAACACAGCATTTCAATTTGAATCTGGATTCAGATAAAAACTTCACATCCTCAACCTTTCCACGCTCCCTTCATCTCACCTACCCCTACCGGCCCAAGCTCTAGTTATGTACAGTGTATATTGTATAATAGACAATTGTGTCTACTACATGTTTAAAAACATATTGCTTGTTATTTTTGAGGCTTTTAAATTAATAAACAAAATACAACTTTATTTTTAGTTGTAACTGCTTGAGGTATGTTTTATGATTGACAGATTTGTTATCCTTTATTAACGATGTACTTCGTTGTTCAGCATTGGGCTGACAAAAATTTTTTCTTGCTAATAAATTTAGTTGCCTGAGGCAAAACCCGCAACTTGGCAGTGCAGCTTCCTTTGTCTTGGACCTCATAGAGCTTGGAGGGGGGACGGAGGGGAGGGAACCTTGGTCTCAGCATGGTCCACCTAAGACCAAGCAGGACCTTCCTCTCCTGGCCTGAAAAGGGTCGCGGCCACATAGACCTCATGGCACTGGCACCAGCCCCCAGAGCACCTGGGTGGGGACTCCAGGGGACAGGCCTAGCATAGGTGTTCCTGCTTTGTTCTTCTACAGCCAGGTGCCCAGATCAAAGCAGGCACACTGTTCAGACTCAAGTCACCAGCAAGCTACTTCTTCCACTCCACTCTCCAACGCCCAGACACAGGTCTTGCTCTCACTTGGGAGAGAGAGCCAAAGGGGCCTGGCTCTGTCATTTCCAGAGGCTGAAGAGTCTGGAGAAAACAAAAATTCCTAAGGACCCAGATCCCTTCCCAGGCTGGAGAGCCAGGCCTGGAGCCCATCTCTGTCCAAAAGAGGACCCTGGCCACAGACTCTGCTTTTCTCCTACCCCTCACCCCAGCGCCAGGGGGGCAGTGAGCTGTTTTGTTTTCACCAAGTGTTGCAGATTCACATCTTGGTGGGGATTTGCGGGGGAAGCAGAGAGGTACGGAGGAGGTCAGGGTTGTGATGTTACGGAGATTTGATTGGAGCACACGGCCGGGATGCTGAGAGCAGCTGGGCAGAAGGGAGAGTTATTCCCAAGCAGATAAAGAACAGCATGTGCTCTCCTTACACGGACGGTGCCTTTTTACTCACCTTGAAGGGGGCACTGCACCCAGGGTCGCTGTTCCGTGCAGGAGCGCCAAGGCTCCTTTGGAGCTAGCCACTCCCTTACTCTTTCCTTTGTCGCCAGCGGCTGCATTTGCAAGCAAACAGCTCTTCCTTAACGCCAGTCCACCCTCACCCACTTCCGCTGGAGAAATAAAAGGGAGGCGGACCTCAGACGGATCACAGGTTCTCCGTCTCCATCACTTCTTCGTGATCAGGCAGGAAGCCCGTCCTACCCATACTTAAGTCCTTTGAGTGATACCAGACCAACTCTGACACAGAAGCCTCTTAATGAGCCCATCAGCCTGGCATCTCATCGCTTCACTGGCAGGTGGAAGATGGGGGTGTATTTCTCTCTTCCTCTCGCGTGGATGGTGCGACTGAAAACAAACGCCTCGCTGAGTTCTGAATTAGGATTGGTGGAGAGAAGGGGAATATTAACAAACGGACCTCTTCCTCCCACGTTCCCACTGCCTTTGCCATCAGGCACAAGGAGTCCTCCTTTCCTGAGAGCTGATTCCAAGTCATCCACTTCCAGTGCGGAAACTGACCGACCCCTGGGCATCCTCTGGAAATGAGGGTGCCAGCCCCGAGGGCAGAACTGAGTGCCGACACGCGGGATTCCCCTTCTCCACGAGGCAGGTTCCAAAGGTACGCCTGGCCATCTCTGCCCCCCATGGGATGCCCGAGTTAGGAAGCGGGCAAGAGAATGTATTCTGCCTAGCCCAGGAAATGGCATGAGGGCAGAATGGAGAAACCTGGTGGCAAATGAGCCCTCATCTGCTGCAGCCCATCCGCTAATTTACTTGTGAGTTGCAGGGGGTGGTGGACTGTTGTCCAGGCTAGAGCCACCTCCAGGACACCTGATGGGCAGGCTAAAAATGGAAATTTGGGGGCAGGCTATCCCCAGCAGCTTGCGAGTGTGGGGCCATGCTGCCCACATTTCCATCCTCAGGGTCATCTGTACCAAAGCCACCCTCCCCGCCCCATCTTGTCTGCTCAGTGATGCTCAACACAGCAGCAGCTCATGGATGTGGCTGAGGCCTACATGGGAACCTAACCCACCCTCTCAGGACAGAGACCTCTTGTAACTTGACCAAGGCCTGTGGGGCTGGGATAAAGCCACTAAACGAACTACAGGAATCTCAGGACGTGGCAGCTGGGTGTCCTAGTGAAGGGGTCCTCGGGGAGGAGAAGAGGCAGGAAGTGGGTCAGGGAAGATGGAATAAAGAACAGGGATGCGGGTGAAAAGAAAGCCAACCGTAGTGGGAAACGGCAGGGAACCGGGGCTGTAGAAGAGAGTCAAAAAGCTACCAACACTCAGGATCTCTCCATGAAACTAAGAATCACCAGGTCACGTCCGTGGGCCTGCCTGGGAGCCTGCTGTCAGGCCTCCTACCTGTGGCCCACACGCTGATGACAATGCAGCCAGTGCCACAAATGAGCCTGGTGCCCTGAGACCTCACTCAGCCTCGGAAAGCTTAACAGCCCTCCAGCCAACAAGGACACTTGGCCAGGCTCCCACCAGGTACAAAAAAAAAAAAAAAGAAAGAAAAAAGAACACACAAAACCACACACACAAAAACAACCCAAGCCCTACTCACCATGCCTCGCACTGGCTACAGAGAGGCTTAACAAAACATGACAGGTTAGCATTTCCTGGCCGGCATGCTGAGAAGGAGCCAGAGAAAGTAAGTGACACAGTCCATCCCATTAAGGAGCTCCTAATGGGGAACACGCATGAAAACCATAGGATGTATTTGCAAAGTGACCCACGAGCACATGCAAGAATCATGTGAGGCGTCAACCCCATAACCACAGGACACTCAGGTAAGTCAGTCTCCTCTGGGTCCCCTGATAACCATACTTGGGACTCAGGCATCTTCTGGCAGAACACTAAGCACCCACCCTTCTGTGTGTCCTGAGTTCACCCCATGCTGGGCCCAAGAATTCCCGAGCTTAGAGGCCCCAGCACACACACACACACACACACACACACACACACACACACCCCACCACCCCCACCCAGTCATTGCAGAAAGTTCTCAGCCCCCTGGAAAGCTGGGCACTGTATCATTTCCATCCTCCTGCACCTCTCGCCTCCCCCACTGTCCTTAACTCTCCCAGACCCTCTGACATGCTCCCCCTCCCCCATGGTTTCAGGTGCCACTTCGGTGGCTCATGACACCTAACCTGGTCTCATTAGCCCAGACCTCTCTCCTGAACTCCAGACTCGATTATATAATCAGACCGAACGTGGGTGTCCCATAAACCCTCGCACTCCACGGTGACTTCACTCTCCCCCAAACCTCCTCCTCTAACACATCCCACTTCAACGATCAGCACCACCCATATCGCCGGAAGTCATCCTGGTGAGCTGATTCCCCTCCTCTCCATCTCCGCCCACCCACACACTCAGGCGCCAGGGTCCTGCTTCCGTCTGGACAACACTGCAGTGTCCTGACCTCCTTCACCCACCATCCACTTGGTCACCAGGTCCCAAAACACAGCCACTAAGCTATAACGGAAATATATAATCCAGTCATTTAGACTGAAGGATGATTTCAGAACATATATGCAAAAGAATGCCCAGCCGGTGTGGCTCAGTGGTTGAGCATCGACTTATGAACCAGGAGATTATGGTTTGATTCCCAATACGGGGCATGCAGGAAGCAGTTGATCGATGATTCTCTCTCATCATAGATTTTTTTTAAATATCTTTACTGATTTTTTTACATAGAGGAAGGGAGAGAGACAGAGAGTTAGAAACATCGATGAGAGAGAAACACCGATCAGCTGCCTTCTGCACACTCCCTACTGGGGATCGAGCCCGCAACCAAGGTACATGGCCTTGACCAGAATCAAACCCGGGACCCTTCAGTCCACAGGCCGACGCTCTACCCACTGAGCCAAACCAGTCAGGGCTCATCATTGATGTTCCTATCTCTCCCTTCCTCTCTGAAATCAATAAAAATAAATATTTTTTAAAAAGCTTTGAAAGAAAACAGGCAAAGTGCAGTCCCCAAACCCGCCTGCAGCCTCTGTTTCATATGGAGAAACCAGTGTGCCTCTCCGTACAATGAAATATTGCAATATATTTTCTATCCAAGATTCTGGAGAAAAGATTAATAAATTTACCAAGTGGGGAGGGGAGGGTGGCAAAGTATTTAATAAAAAGCAGTGACAATACAAAATTCATTTCTCTCACACAGGCAGAACCCTTGCTGAGGGTACAGCAGTAGAGGCACCGCCAGTGGGTGTGTTCCCCACTCCTTCTTGCACTGCAGGGCTGCTTTGTAATCCGGACACCAAATCCCACGCACGAAGCAGAAAAGCACCATGCAAGCCTACTTATTATCTCAAGACAAAGGGGGAAACAGTACAAGGCAACCAGTTGCAAGCTTCCTCGCTAACTGCCGAGAAGGGGAGAGGCTGCTGGAATCTACTTTTTCTCACCTGGCCTTTAAAATAGAGGAATCAGACACTGTGGTTCGACAACAGCCAAGGATAAAAAAAGAATCGTTGTCTAAAAGCCTAACCCATGCCATCTGCCTGATCCTCAAAGCTGGCACGCCGCGCCCTTGCCTAAGTGCCCGGCTTGCGTTCTCACCACCCGTTCCAGCAGGATCGCCCTGCTCCAAATCTCCCCAAGGCACCCAGCTTCTACTCACATTGTTCCCTCGTCCTGGCAGCTTGTTCCACTGTCCATCTGCTAGCACACACTCATTAAGACAAATACAATGTCTGCTCCCTTTACGAAAGATTCCTGACTGCTGGAACCCGAGGCCACTTCCTCCTGCTTGCTCCCCGTCTCCTCACAGAAGCACCTGTAACTCTTCAGCTCACAGATCTGCTTCCCCCTACAGACTACAAAACCCTGTGGGCACGCGCCCGTGCCATCTTCATCTTCGTATGCTCACACCTAGCTCAGCACCTGGTCCTAAAGAAGTCTTTAATAAACGTCAACTGAAGGAATAAATATCTATACAGTTAGCCCTTGAACACGGTTTTGAACTGCATGGGTCCACTTATACATGGATTTTTTCCCCCCAATACTGTTAATGTATTTTCTCCTTATTTATGATTTTCTCATTAAAATTTTCTTTTCTCTAGCTTACTTTTTTCTAAGAATACAGCATATAATACATGTGGTAATTGACTGATTATGTTATCCGTAAGGCTTCTGGCCAACAGTTGGCTGCTGGTAGCTAAATTTTGGGGGAGTCAAAAGTTATACGTGAATTTTCAATTGGGGAGGGGTCAGCGACCCTAACCCTTGCATTGTTCAAGAGTCAACTGTACTGTAATGGTTTAATTAAACCCATTCAAATTATCCTTGTCTTGGTGCCCTAGAATCCTGGGTCCAGGGTAGCATATCCCAGGGGTGCTAAGAGTGTGGGCCCATGAACAAAACCGACTGAGTTGAAGGGCACTAATTACTGCTTACACAGATTTCAATGCAGGTGCTGGGAGGAGAGGAGGACAGCAATGTTCATACGTGGAAAGACAACTTCAATAAGAAAGGAAGTCCTGTCAGCTCTCTCTCAATCATGATGACGGAGGAAAACAATGCAGCAAAAAATTCTAACCAGTGGAGAATCTATAGATGAATATTATTAAGCCTTGAGACGTGTTATTTCTTTGCAGCAAATTTGTCTTCCAGATTCTATTTGGCTCAAGCTATGTGCCCATGATAAAGAATGACAGGTATCGAAAGTACAGCTTTATGAAGCTTAGCTGTCATGCAGACACCTGGGCAGGGCAGGAGGTTCCCTTACCTGACAGTCCTGGGGTGCCTGCCTAGATGGTTCTCGCAGCTCCCCTTCCTGATGATGGTGGAAACGAGGACTAGAGAGAGGCCTTGACCCCGGCTGCCCCAGCCAGGCCAAAGCTGGAATGGGTAGGCACTGGCAGGTTTCCCATTTCTCAGCCCTGCATCCTGGAAATGGCTTGGCACAGCCACCTGCTCTCCTGTGCCCTCAGCTATGGTTGGCATTGACTTGGGTACCAAACTCCAACTCTCTAGGAAGGGCAAGAGGTGAAAGGGGAAACTCGGCTGAGAGGGGGAGGCGGGGGAGAGGTGGGGCAGAGGTAACCCTTCCATCGACTTGGCTGGTCTGCTGCATCAGGAGAGGGGAGGCCATGAGTAAAAGCAGCATGCTCTGGCCTGGGGTGAAAGAAATGAGGCTGGAGAGAGGGGGTTCAGAGCTGGAGGAGGAAGGCGGTGCTGGTCTGGGACAGCTTGATCCCAAATTTCCCTCTTCTCCTTTCCCATTCAGCTGTCTTCCTTCTCATCCCCGCCTCCCCGCCCCCCCCCCAAACACACACACTACTCAGCACCTATTTGGAGGGGTCACTAGTTACTTCAACCTCTCCCATTCTCAAGCCTTGATTTCTTCCCCAAACCAGATGTTCTCTTTCTCCGTCTCCCCACCACCTTGCCTTAGGGTCTGGCCCCTAATACATTTCCATTGGTCCGTTCCGAGGCCACCAGCCTGCCCCACAGGGACACTTCCTGCACTATGCCCGCCTTCGGGCACCGACCAGGGGCCAGCCACTTCACACTGACCCTTCCCCTCGAGCCCCCGGCGGCTCACCCACCGCCCCCGGCCCGGGAGGCAGCGGCCCGATACCTTTAACAAACCTCCACGTGCGTGTTAACCGCGGTGACAGAATTTCCTTGTCTCCCTGCTCCCGCCTCCAGCGGCGCCGCCCATTGGCCGCTGGCTTCCTCTGTTCTCGCTGTCATTGGCCGCGCTCCGTAAAACTCCGACCAATGGAATCCCAGCGCCTGTCTCCCTCCTCCGACCCTGGGCTCCCATTGGCTCCGAGGACTTAGGGTATCGGGGCTGGGAGACGGACAAACCTTCCTTCCCGGGGGTGGACTCGGGACTGAGGAACTGGTTCGGAATATGCCGGAACCCGGCGCCGGGCGACGCTGGGTCACGTGACCAACGGCCCCGTCACGTGCGTCAACGTGATGTTCTGGCGACTGGCCGAGCGGCCCCGCCACCTTCGTCACCTGTGCAGCCACCTGTGCAGTCGTGGGGCCGACATGGATCTGGGGCCGATGCGCAAGAGTTACCGCGGGGACCGAGAGGTGTCGTCG